CTCGGAGGCCACGTACGAATTGCTGGGCCTGGCAAGAACGTTTTTCATGCTTGGCAGCTACATCTGCATGTGGGCCATGGCCTCCTGGACATCTTCGAAGCTGAGACCCCCGTGCGACGGTGCGGCGTAATCCTGAAGAGATAAAGATTGTCAGAAACAGGTTGGAAATGGGACCCAAAACGCCAAGGAACAAGAGTAGGTGGAAAGGTGTTTTCGGCAGATCCTGCAAAGTAAAATCAAAGAGCCTCAAAGCATGGCAGCTTGAATGACTGTTGGTTGCCGGCCTGTTGTCCGACAAAGCGACTCGCCACTGGTCATGCCCGCATAAGCATTCAATTCATACACGAGCCTCGGCATGCAGGGCAAGCATGAAAGAGCCACTACCAAGAACCTGGGAATCGCACGCCAAGAAGCAGATATGCAACACTGGCCGCGCTGACAGCCTTCTCGTCGGTGAGAGCTGCAGCAGGCAAAAAAATAGTGGCATGGAGAATATCATCGGCCAGTGCCATCGCTTAAACCAATGCTAGGCAGGTGCCGCGGCCGAGAAGCCCGTGCACCAACTGTTGTCGACCATGTACCATCTATCGGCTTTGTAATAGGCAGTAAAGTGACCGCCATCCAGCGTGCCCTGACAACACGTCGAAATGAACGGTCAAGAGCCTGCGAAAAACATTGGTCGCGCCTCATGCACAAGGAAAGAGCGCCGATCGTACTCCCACAACCTCAGCTGCACAGTAAGATGACTGCACGGGACTATATGCTGGCATAGGGACACGAGAAATGGAAAGCCGAAGCGCTCCACATCTTCAAGGCGCAGGTCGGAGTGGCACGGCGGTAGTAGAGGCAGTTGCAATCCCTCAGCACAAGTAGGAATAGTCGGACCCTAAATCGTAAACCTCGAAACCGTCCAACCCTACTTGGGTTCCCCTGCAGGCTTGACGCTCATTAGTTCTTAAACTTCAGGGTTCAGAGTTTAGGATGAAAATTCGGGATTGAAGGTGAAGGCACACGGACAACCAAGGCGTGAACCTGGAAAGGAACAGTGATGGAGGCCGCATTCTTGGAGCTAGCCGCTGCGGACTTGTCCGCTGCACGCCATCGTTGCACGCATAGAGGCAGCGTAAGCGGCGCCACCCTGGGTGTCACAATGGATCACACGCAGCGCCGGAGTGTGCCTTGAAAAAGTGCAAGCAAGGGGCTTGCCATGGCTACGCTTGAGCGCTCTCGTTGCTGTGAATCGAGCGGTATCACCATTGGTCATTTGCACAAAGCAATTCTGCACCTTGTCTCTCCATTGGTGATTTGCACAAAGCAATTCTGCACTTGTGAAAAGGAAGTCAAAGGCCCCACAGAGCAAGAATGGCACAAAGAGGCATGCGCCTCTGCAAATATCGCGTCCTGCAGCATGAGTTGCAGGTTCCTTTCCTTGCGGCCGGCAATTTCCTTGCAAGCAACGAAAGAAACAAGAAGTTAGAAGAAGCCACAAGAAGCCCTCGGCATGCATTGGCGTGTTTAAGTTCAAGATCGGACAGCGGTATGCGAAGAATGTATAGTGGCTCGGAAGGAGGGATGGAAACTCGCGAATCCTGGGCTTGGCAGCAGAACAAGCACGCCAGAATGAAGCTGTAAAGCAGCAAACCCAGACCCCCGTGTTTCCTCAACCACAAATGGAATGGTTATGGGTGCTGCCGCAGAGCATCCAGCTTGAGCGACTGGAACGCCTCGGCTCTGGCACAGGTCACCATGTTGACAGTCAGCTCGAGCCCGCCGCACCTCAGTTAGGGTCTCGACAAATGAAGCTTGGGAAGGACAGCACCAACTAGATCTCGAGAGCAGAGTGTTGTGCCAAGACATCAGACCAAGCACAATGGCAAAATCTCCTCCAAAATGCGAACGGCATCCTCCTGCCATAGGCTGCCAAAAACGCAGAACCCTGCGGGTTGAGGTTGCAGGGTTCGGGGTTGAGGCACAGAGCCAAGCACGGAGACTGCGCTACAGTAAGTCATTTGGTTCGGACCCCCGCGACCATCATCACCCCGAGAGACGGTTCTGTACATCATCCTGTGTGGTTTCGCTTGAGACTTGCCCGCGTGTCAGCATAGGCCGCCTGCAGGCCGCGGGACACCAGATCAAAATTGGCCAAGTACTGCTCTAGCTGCACCTGGAGTGAAATCACGAGTCGCTTGTGGCTTGAGAAAGCGAAAGAGACCAAAAACAAGAGGTAGACCATCATGGCCAAGCAGCCATGAGAAGGCGGTCCACCACTCGGGTTCGAGACATTTCAATGATATGAGAAATCTCCTGCCAACAGGCGAGCAAGCCTTGGGGGAGGAGCCTGAGCGCGGCCTCCGAACAGAGTCCTTGTGCAGCGTCTCGTCGACAGCATGTCCGCTCAGAAGCTCCTCAAACAGGCTGTGATCTAACTCATGCTGCAGGGGCAGGCTCTCTCTCGCCTCGTGCACAGCCAGGATAGTCAACGTTGCCTGTTCAAGCGGAAGGCAAAAAGAAAGGAAAACCTTGTCCGTGTATATGTGAGCGTAGCAGTCACAGCATCTGGCCTGCAAGTAACATGTCACTCCTGCATTCTCGTGCCCGAAACAGACAAACTTGCACCTGAGCAGCTCACTATTCTTGCTGTCACGAAGTCCAGAAAGCCACACATCCACAGCAAAACGTTCCTGAAACATGAAGGGGAGCCTGTCAGCACACCTTTGCAGCAGCATCTTCTTGCGCTGCTCGACATCGCCCAGGTCTGACGGCCAAGCGAGAGGGGGCTGAGCCTGAGCAAGATTGCTCAAGAGATGGTCATGCAAGGATAGCGATGCAGAACACGGCCCCCATCCAAACACAGGCCCCCGCACAGTCACTTGGTGGAGCAACACCTTCTTCGCTGAGCGCTTGCTTCAAGCGAGCCAGCAGATCAGCCTGGCAATGTGGCACAGCCATGGGGTGGGCCCTTTCAATGTGCAGGTTTTCGTGGGCCATGAATCATGGCCTTCTTTCCCGTGGTCTGCAATCCGCGGCTTCGTAGTTTATCTTTCAACGCTGGCACCGTTAACGTATCAACGTCGGCAGAGGAGTCGGGCTGCTCCTGCAATGCCATGCATCACGCCAAAGATCCGAATATGCACCGGAAATCTGAACATTAGAATCCCCCACTGTTGGACTCGAAAGTTGGAAACAGAACAGCAGGACTCGAAAGTAGGAAACAGAACAGTTTGAGGCCTGCACGATGGCCTTCTGCCTTTTGGCCCTTTGCGAGCTGGCTTTCCGAAGGTCCTGCCAAAACAAGCAATTGCAACAACAAGCACAGTCCCGACAACCGGCCAAGAATGGACAGAGACATGGGCTCCTTGCGCTTCCTGGTATCCTCCATAATTTTGGACAGCAGGTCCAGTGACAATCTGCGATAGTCCACCTCCTTTTCGCTGCGAAGCTGACCGCGATACAGCCGCCCCATCATCGGATCGTTCACAGCTGGGCAGTGCAGCTTGATATGATTTTCATCATAACCATTGTTAGTCCAAAACTGGAGCGGCCGCTCCAGGACCTCACAAACTTTGCGATGGCTGAGCTCGTGGTATGAGGACAAGGACGTCAACAACATTTCTCGCACATCGCTCCAGTGCATCGCCGCACCAGTGCGAGCAGCTGCAACAGCCGCGAAAAAACCCTGCAAAGTCGCAGAGTCTACACCCAGTGCTTGGACCGCTACATCGTGGGCCACGAGCTGCTTCATGAGAGTTCGACAACTTGAACATTCCTTTCGGTCTCCACACGGCATCTCCGTAACGACCCGAGAGCACTTCGAACATGTGAACGTTTTCGCACTCCCAGCAGCAGCACGAAGGCGACGCAGCAAGGTTGCCTCACAGGGACTGTCATCAAAGAACCGCTAGGCAATTTGTGTACACGGAAACGACATGCCTTGTTGCCGGAGTCATCAAGGTCTCGCTCAACCAGCATCGCACGAAGCTGGCTAACCTGGACAGGGCTTTCCCCGCGCGTGCCCCTAGGCATTCACAACACAAACGAGCCAGGGCTGCACTGCACATGCAAGCCACAAACGAGCCAGGGCTGCACTGCACACTTCCAGTGCCAATTGGTCTCCTTCTCCAGAAGCCCCAGAAGCCCTTACCAGCTGTTCTCCAGCATCTTCTGTTTCCTCTCCAGCATCCTCTGTCTGCTCTTGCAGTCCTTCAGAAGCTCTTGCAACACAGGCAAAAAAGAAAGAACGAGACATGCCAAACAAGGGGCCGGCCTAACAAAGGAACGACTGGAGAATTGCACTCCAAACGACCAGACATCGTCACGCTGGCCTCCGAGTACAGTGGTGCATGGTATGCTTCCAGTTTCTAGCACGAATCTCCACTCGGAATGGGAAGAGCAGGCCTGCAGGTAAAGCAGGAACCGGAACAAGGGAGCCGGCACGAGTAGCGAGCCATGGCGCTTTTGCTGACTCCAGGCACAGCACCAAGCAGCAAGTGTCGAAATGAAGCGGTTTCGTCCCGGAACTAGAGGACACTGAAGTAGAACTAGAGGACACTGAAGCAGAACTAGAGGACGCTGAAGTAGAACTTGAGGACACGAAACGGTCACTACACTAAAACACTAAACTATAACGACAGTACACTGAAGCAGAACTAGAGGACGCTGAAGTAGAACTTGAGGACACGAAACGGTCACTACACTAAAACACTAAACTATAACGACAGTACACTGAAGCAGAACTAGAGGACGCTGAAGTAGAACTTGAGGACACGAAACTGTCACTACACTAAATCACTAAACTATAACGACAGTACACTGAACTACACATGGTACCCAAAAAACTGTGTCATGGAACAAAGCAGCGGCGTCATGGAACAAAGCAGCGGCGTCATGGAACAGTATTGTCTTGTCATGGAACAGTGTTGTCGTGTCATAGAACACGATTTCTAAACATGGTACGAGCACGTGCTTCATCACAAGCAGTCTTCAGGCTCCGAGTGCGCTGCTTGAGGTCTCCGTGCACGACGTTCGCGGCGTGAACCTTGCAACGTGAACTCTTCTCAGGAGGCCTTCCGTACCCAATGCTCATAATAAAAAACCGGTCTTGTCTGATGTTCCTCCCGAGCATGTGCTATACAATGCAAGGGGGCAGCCAGCTGCTTCACGCTGCTCCCAGCCCACAATGTAAACCCCAAACTGCTGCAGAACGAAATGCAGAACCGAAATGCGATCCCACAATGTAGCCGCGCGCATGGCAAGGGCCTCTGCGAGGCCGGCAATGATCTGCCGGAAGAGGCGGCGGGCCTGCCGCAAGCTGCGCATATTTGTTGTTGGAAGAAAGGATGTCTACTTCAAAATGAGCGCCCGAGATGCTTTCCGGAGCGGGGCGCGAAGTCTAGAGGGATGCTCACAGAGGGAGCGGGGTGCCTCATCGGTGTAAAGACTACCACTGTGACAATTTTTTGTTGCGCACCTCTGGCTCGTCGAGGCGCCGCTGCTTGCGGACATATTCAAACATGTCCCCACCGCATGCGTACCTGACAAGAGGAGCGCCAACGCAGCATACACGAAATCCGAAAGTTCCGGAACCTTGCGGAAAGCTGCAACCAGGCAGGGTTACGCATGTCCAGACTGCAAAACAAATTCACCGGTGAGGCACTCCATGATGACAAACGTTCGACAGCGCGTCGAAATCGTCTCATGCATCTTCACCTGATCAATGACACTGGCTGCGTCGATGAGGAGACCCCGCTACAATCTCGAGCATGTGCGTTCATGTCAAAACCCTTCAAAAAGATGCAACTCCTTCTTATTTGCGTTTACCTTCCTCTACTACCTTACAGAAATCTCGCGTGGATCCAGAGCAGTGTGTGTGGCACAGCTCAAACCGAACAATGTCCACGCGAGCGTGCGTGCCTGCGGGCCTGAACGCCTGCCTGCGTGTGTGCCGCTTCTAAAGCATCCGACATGTCTCGAAGCAAGGCAACAACTTCTTCGCCGTAATCCGCATGAAGCTCGCTGTGTGATAAGGCTCAGGAGCGCAAAAGGCTGTACTCTGCCAAGGTGCCTCACGTCTGCATCAATGAATCCAAATACGTGTATGTACACAAAATACCATAAATACCATGTACATAAAACTGAGGACGTCTGTGCTTCGCAACCTGCGACTGGACAAGCGCTAAGCCAATGACACCCTGCGAGCACATAGCTTTCAACGCCTTTTCTTTCAAAGGCCTGCTTACAGGGACCTGACTAAGTCATGCCTTGGTCATGCCCGGGAGGCCTTTCCCCAAGTAGGCGCTTGATTCCAGACACAAGTCATGCCCGAGGCCCCTTCCCCCAACTAGGCGCAAACGGAAAAGATGCATTTAATATTGCGCTTAGAAGTTTGGGGCCTGCTCGCCGAGGCCTTCACGATGAAAAAAAACGTTTTGGGGGAGTTCTAGTCTTGGACCCCCCCCCCCCTGTGACCCCCCTGAAAAACGCCCGAGCAAACATATTTTGCATCTGGTTGAACGATACCCTGTCCTAGATGTGTAAATGGGGTTGAACGATACCCTCGGGTTCGATTTGAAGCCACATGCCGATCAAAATCGATGTGGCATGAAGGATTCAAACAAGTTGCTGTGCCAAGGGCGAAACAGTTCACCATGTAAGCGCAACAAAGATATGCTTCAAACTACGTCCTCAGTGACAACGCCCAAACACTGCACTTGCTTGGCGTTTGGATGTTTCCAAGATGTTAAACCAGCAATGAATCGGTTTGCATGAAAAACCTTGCATTTCCTAGGCGTTTAGGGAAGTGGGCACGACTTTTCGGAAAGCTTTCCCCGAGTGATTGATAGCATACACAAAAAAAGGTACGACTTTCACCACTGCCTGTAGCATGTCAACCGGAGCACCAAGAGAAGCCCCACCCACCACTGGAACTTAAAAACATCGAAGGCTGAACATCGAAAAGCGTCCACCCTCATCGCCTCATCGCATCATGGCGCATCCCCCAACATCCCAAGAGATTAAAAGAATACACACACACACACAAAAACAACATGCGACAGGCATCAACAACCCAGGCCCTGGAAAGTCCACTCCCAGGATTTCCAGGGCTGCGGCTATGTGGGGGTGCCAGAAGCGCTTCAAAATCTGCGCCTGTCAGAGAAGAACACCGGGTCAGGCACTAGAAAAGGGACTGCTGTCGCATGAACTCACCTCGGCGGTCGGTTTGCGTCGCAGCCCACACTTGCCCCCCGGTCCTGCCTCGTCTCGCACCTTCTTCGCATCGCGCCATGACCGGTTGTGAAAGATCTGGGCGGCGGATCCAGAAAGGCTAAGGGCAATGACACGGCTTATGTGCAGGCCTTACATGGATGATCATCCTGAGAAGCATCGTGTGAGAATGCTTCTCATCTCTGCCCATGCACGCCTATACGGCCCAATACCTCCGCCGAGGCCCCAGCTTTCACAGCCACAGTCTCATCTGTCGAGATGCGGGTTGCCCGTTTGACCTTTTCGGGCTTCTGGGCTTCGACCATGCAAGACGCATGAAAGCAAAACCCTCAGCCCTGAGCAGCTACAAGGGCCATATTCCCACGTGGATGAATCCGGATAGGAACGCAAGAGGGATGAGACCAGTGAGCAGGGGTGGAAGCACCTGACATGCTTTGTTTAGCAGCACGCTCACCCACCCCACCCCGCTTCCCCACCGCGCCTTTGCAAACGAGCCTTCGCCAATCGCGGGCCCTGTTCAGCTGCAGGTAAGGCCAGGACATGGAGCTGTAAGCTCAAGCTGGGCTTGGCAAGCCGAAGCAGCAGCAAAGGCCCCCGCCTAAGGTGTAGTCTCTGAGAGCAGCTGCCTGCGATGCAAAAAATGGAGCCCTGCCCTCCCCCCCCCCCCCACCGGCTCAACATGAAAAGAAGGTTTTGGGCCATTGGTCACTACGCGTTGTTCGGGGCGGGAGGAACGGTTTCGCCGACAGAGGGGCGGGGGGGGGGGGGGGGGGGGGGCGGGGGAAGTAAACCTCCGCTTAAACAGACTGCAAAGGTGTAAAGCGGCAGAGGCCCTCACTTTAATGTAGACTGAAACTGTTGACCCAGCAGGTAAGAAGCGCTTGTTTGGGGCTCCTTGCGACGAAACCCTAGCTAGTTGCTTCAGTTGTCATAATATTCCTTGTGTGCTTTCTGCTGCTCCTTGTGATTGGTGTCCTCATGCGTTCTCCACCTTCGCTTCATGTCATCCTTGATGTCACAACGCTTCCGTTAAGCTTCGACCCCGCAGTCATGTAGACTTGACTTGACCAAATCTCCATACTGCGGCGAGCAAGCGATCCGAATCGAATGGAAACGGCAATGGGAAGGAAGATGGACACGAAGGATCGAAATGGAGCCCTGGCACAGAACCTTGAAATTGCAAGCGAGGGAAGCGGAATGCCACTCGTATCACTGTGCGGTGGGGAGGTCCGTCTGAGTTGAAGCCGCAAGCCGAACTTCAAACTGAGCTCCACCATGCTCCGCCTGAACCCATGCAGCCTATGGCAGCCACCCCGGCACACACGTTCTTCTTGCATGGCCTGCGGATCTTGGCCTAAACCGACGAGCATCATTTGCTCCAGTTGCTCAAAGGCCTCAGGCAATGCTTGTGGGACTATGTTCAAGGGCTTGCAAACCACAGCTGCCGGCACCCGCGGTTGTGGGAACGTGACTTGGGGGGGACCCTTGGGGGGCTTTGGGCTTTGAAGGGTTTGGGGTGGGAGGGGGTTGCGCTCTCAACATTCAGCCTGAGTCGAGCATAGTCCAGCTGAGGCGAGCGCCGAGGAGCGGAGGCCTGCCGAAGGGTCAGTCGGGCCACGGTGCACGTTACTCAGCCCTTCTTAGGGGATGGAAACAACATGACACGCATTTCGCACAGCGGGGAGGCTTCAGGGGGCGGCTGCAAGCGCGGCACGTCCGGAGGCAAAGGCAGACTGAAAGCACAGAAAGATCCAACTCTGGGGAGTTGCACAAGCCTCTGACTCATGGTCTTTCTGGGTTCGGTCAGCTACGAACGTGCTTTGAGCATTTTACTCCTGGACCCTCAACCCTGAGGCCCGGCACCTAGCAGAACTTGCAGCCGGTTCTCGAAGGCCGCCTTCCAGGCCCCGACGTCCTCCGTGGAGGTTCAGGGCGGGGTCATTTGGCAGGTTGTGCGTCCAGGGTTCAGGGACATGCCAGCTCGAATTCTGAGCTCATCTCGCCCTCTTCTCCAGCTCTTGGTTTGTGTCTCAGAAGTTCACCAGTCCCTGAATCCGCGTGAACTGAGTTTGTGCCTGGAGGCTACACCTGTTGCAGCCCTCCTTGTCAGGGCCTCCCTAAAGCTCAAAAAGGTTTAAGCCCCCCCCCCAAAAAAAAAAAAACAATAAATAAATAAACAGGAAGACCCCAACCCCTGGCCCTCACCCAAAACACAAATGCTCCGCCCTCTCGGAAGGCTGCAGGCTCCGGCCTTCCGAGGTTTGGAGGCGAGGTGCAAAGCGGCGACCTGGACAGCGGAGCACAACACGGGGGGGGGGGGGGGGGGCCTTTTGGGCGCTCTCCAGGGCGCGGGAGGGTTGGAGGGTTGGAGGGCGCGGGATCTACTCCAAACGGTGTTTTTGGTCCGAGACTTGGGTGTAAGGACTGAAGCCCATTTCAGCAGCTTAAAGCGCTTAGGTGTTTTCGAAGGTCTGGGGTTGACAGCCCCTTTCGGCCCTCCTTGTTCATGGCTTCGAGCTTTTGGGCGTGCTTGGGGCTCAGGGTGGCCCAGAGCTGCAATCGAATCCGATGGCCCTGCCCCTCAGTTGGGACTACGAGTGTGAACCGGTTACGCTGGGTGCCTTTTGGGCTCGGGCGGGCTGAGGCTGCAGGGACAAACAAGCGCGAAGTGCGCATGTCTACAGGGTCAGCCTCGCAACGAAGGCGCCCGCCGCTAGCTTGACGCAGGAGCACCCCCGCTGTATTGGAACCAGGATCAGCAGACGACCCGAATCACCCGCCAAGTGGACACGCCGCGCTGAGCCCTTTAATACTAAACCTCTGAACCCCATGTACCGCAGTGGGGCGCGCCAGGATGGGTCTCCAGTTGCTCTTGGTCATGTGCAGCTCTCGATTCCTGGCTCAAGACACAGCAGAGCTGTCGAAACCGACAAAACAAAGCCAACCCTGGATCCGTGCAAGGCCCTGAGCCTCCCAAAGCCAGAAGCTTCAACCCTCTAACGCCCCAAAAAGCTCGACACCAAATTCCGGCCGCCCGAGCAGCTCTAGGGCGCTGAGGACTCGAAGGGCTTCTGGGATTTAGGGCGTTTGGCCTGTCACGCCTGCAAGATGTACTCCGTCTTTCGACGCTGAAGTGAGAGATTGAGTCGCCACAAGTCCGGAAGCAAAAGGTCAGCTTGGGGACAGGGTGCTAGCGCAGCCGGGCGATAAGCCTGTGGGCTGCATGGCCGGCTTGGGAAACTTTCCTAGAAGCCTCCACACGACGCATCCCCTATATCCCCCAACCGCTACCGTCCTTAGCCCCCCACGGCGAGGCCCTGAACGCCCCCAGGCAGAAACGTGGCAGCTCGGACCGCCCCAGCAGCGCGTCGACGTTCTCCATGGCGGCAGCACAGATCTGTCGCATGCTGAAGTGGGGGAAACGCTTAGGACTTTCGGGACCTATCGTCGCTGGGTCCACAGCTGTCCGACCCTTTTGACCCCCTCCGGCATCCGGCCCTGAAACCTTTAGGCAGCGCGGCTTAGTTCTGGAACTGATCGCGCGGTTGAAGAACAGAACTCAGAGACCCGAAAACCCACGCGCGTGGTATGCAGAAGGAGCCTGTCGCTAACAAAAACACGAGGCTGCTCATGGTGGCTCTGCTCCTTTCAAAAGAGGGTAGTTACTTCTTGTATTTCTATCAGCGCCCCATTTTCACAGTCTGCCGCCCCTAAACCCAGCAAGCTTCCCCCAAGCCGACTGCAAGCTGTCATCAAACATACACCATGCACTGGCAAAGCCCTACGCCGACAACACAGAAAACAACCTGATCCGGCCTCCTCTTTGTAGTCGGTCAGGGCCAGCGCCTGTGTCAACCTTGAAGTCAGGATCTCGGGAATTCAGGGCTTCAAGCTAAGATGAATGGCCGGGCATGTCGCCCCAAACTCTTCTGCTCTGCTTACACACAAGCGCTTCCAGGCAGCAGTTGGCTGACTTCGTCTCCCAGCGCCTGCCAGGACATTGCTTGATGGAGGGTGGAACCCTCACCCCTAAACCCCAAGCCCCCAACCCTGGGTGGACCAGTACAGGCTGGTTTCTCGATGGGGCCAAGATACCTCAGTACTGCCCAGCTAAAGCTGCTAAGAGAAGTCTATCCAGGACGTCCTGCAAAGTTGGGGAGCACCTCCAAACCCCTACATTCCCAGATCCCATTGCCACAAGAGGCCCTCCCAGCCCAAGGACTGCAAGACCGAACACCGCTGATGTCCAAGCCAGTTTCAGCAGAATCGGCCCAAAAACATCTCCCAACACATCCCAGCACACACACACACACTCACTCACTCACTCACTCACTCACTCACTCACTCACTCACTCACTCAACTCACTCACACACTCACACACTCACACGCGCACTCACACTCACCCTCACGCTCACACTCACAAGCACACGCACACTCACACGCACACTCACCAGCACACGCACACTCACACGCACACTCACCAGCACACGCACACTCACACTCACTCTCTCTCCCTCTCTCTCTCTCTCTCTCTCTCTCTCTCTCTCTCGCTCTCTGTCACACTTTTCGCACGCCTGCGGCTTCCGAAACCGCTTCAAAAGGCGATTCATGGAGAACTTCCTGGATCGGCGCGGGCTTTGGGCTGAGGGCTTTAGGTTCGGGTTTGGGGGTTGGCTTGCAGTGGAGAGTTCGGGGCGCAGGGCTTCAACGAGCCCGAAAAAGCGTTCAGGACGGCGGCGCCTTGAGGCTCCGAGAGTACAAAATGGCACGATGGGCCAGCAAAGGCCAACCGCTTGAGAGTGGCTTTTGAAACAGAGCTCGGATGTTCTTCATGGGATCGAAGCCTTCTCCCCCCTCCCAAGCCCTGAAATGCCCTGAACACACTTTCAAGCTTTCAAAAAGACCCTGAACTCTCAACCCCCGCCAAACCCTCCCCAAACCCTGCTGCCGTGCGCCTGCTGCAAGTGCCCAAGAGATCCTCCCCAAGCATCCAGGGTTGAGGGGTGCTGTCGCATGGCCCACCTACCCCTGGAATCATGAATCGCTGTTGCAAGCAGCTCCTTTGCCATGCTTGAGGGCTTAGGTTTAGAGTGAGGATTTAAGGGCCGATTTTCCGCAACACCTCAGGACCCTGTCTCGGCTTGCATGGACAGTGCAGCACAGTCCTGGCCTCTACATTCAACACCCTTTGAGCCCGGAAGCCTACTAGTAAAGCCGCCCTGCACCATGGAAAACGCATGGAGCCCCAAACGTCCCAAACCCCCTTACCTTCAAGCGCGAATCCCGAAGCGGTTCAAGGACGGGGTTCAAGAAGGGGAGGGGGGGCCCAGGCCTCGTCGAAGTCTGTTGGCGCGAAAAGGCCTTTGGAGTTTGGAGACTCCCCCCGACCCCGGCCACATGGAATACAGCCCTTTTGCGCTTCGCATTCAGGAGATCTGGCAGAAGAGCGAAACACCCCCCTTGGAAACACAGGAAACGCTCAGAGGCCCGGTCCGCCACTTGCCGCACTTTCCGATCCCACCAGGCCGAGTGGCCTCGATTGTTGGGGCGAGCTTGGGGAGGCTCCAAACTGTTCGCGCTCTGGGCTTTCAAGGGGCGATGAGGGGTTTCGGAGAGCTCGGGGGTGCTCTAGCACGGAAGAAGGCCAAAAGCTCCGCCAAGGCCGGCGCTCCTGCCAAGACTCACCCTGGCCGCATTCGAGGTGTGCGAAACGGTCGGCTTAGGGTTAGTAGGAGCGGGGGCGGGGGCTCGGGGTATGGGGCTTGGGGTCCCCCGCACATACTTTCGGTGCCGAGGGCTTGAAGTCGATCCGGAGAGGTGTACACGGTTCAAAAGCGAATCCGCGAAGCTCCGCCGTACAAGTAGATGAAAGCCCATCTGGTGCGTAGAGCCCCTAATCGCCCAAAGGCCCGTCTAAGCCACTATTCGCCCCCAGAAAGAGGGCAAAGAAAACATCGAGCTGTCCCTGTTTTCGCGGCTTGCCCGCGAAACTGCCCTGCCAAGCACCCCAAAAGCCAAGCCGTAAACCACCAAGCACGAACACCGCAGATCCAACGGACCAGGGCTTGCGGGGTGTTCGGGTGTAGCAATAGCTTGGGGCTTCGGGATGCTGATCAGGTTTAGGAAGTTTAGGGTTTATAGGGCCAGGGTCCAGCATGGCAGCAACTTCGCTGCCTGGTCCACGCGGTTGCAAATGTTGTCGACCGCTCCTGCTGCATCGCATGCATCGCAGCTTCGCTCTGAACGCCTAATTTTACACCCGCAGACTCGCAAATCTCTCGCCTATAGGGCTTGGGGCTTGGGGTGCCCACCAGAAGAACGGAGCCCTTGGCTCGAAAAAATTCTGGAAGCTTGCAAGCAGAACGAGTGCCGGAAGCCTGCATCCAACATTCCACAACGAAAACTCCATAAACTCCCAAGCCCGCCAACGCTGCAATGACCCGGCATCTGTGAAGATGCCACATGCATTTGCCCACCACAGTACGAGTACTCAAAAAACCCCAAACCCAGCCGTGAACGATCAGACATGTCCTATTCATCCCTGGAATCCGCGTGACTTCGGCTTCAGGGAAAGTGCTGCTGCTTCGGCCTGCGGGAAGAGCATCCCGGCCAGGCTCCTGTGGATTTGTGGATTGCTGTCGTTCGCCTAGCATTTCTAGCATACGCTCCTACGGCCCAGAAACTGTTACAGCGGCAGCTCTTTAAGAATACACACCGCAGGCGACAAACTTTTTTGTCAGCACAGTCTTGCGGGTAGAGTCATGCCACTGTGCAAGCATATTCTAATCAGACCGGAGAGGTGTGTGGGCCAATATCCATAGCGCCACAGTTAATACTCGCATGAGCACCTGGTAATAGCATGCTGTAGTGCAGTCAAGCCCAGCACATCGCAGCTGAACGAAGAAAACACGGGTTTGCAGAATGATGGGGATACAAATGTCCCCAGCGCTAGACCTTAAACCCTCAGCTCTCACAGCCAGCTGACTCTTACTTGTGCCATGTGACAAGCTGCCAGTCTGATGCTGCTCGTATGGGCGATACCTCAAACCTGCCACATCGGTAGTGTGTACATTGGCAACTCAAGATAGAGAACGAATCGCCTGCCAACGTCAATCCCCAACCCCTCAAAATTCAAAATTCAACCCTTAAATACCCCAAGCCCGAAGGGCGAACACGCGAAATTCCCTGAGACGCGCGGAACGTAGACCGGACATGACCGGACCCTGTCGTCGCTAAATGCACAAAACCCCCGGTCCGAGGAGTTTGGGGCAGCTCTCGCCGCACGGCGATCGGCGCGTCGGCGGCGCATTCGTTGGACGACACCCTCAGAGACTCGTCTGGGCGTTGGGGGGTGGGGGGGAGGAGGGCCCGGGGGATGGAGTCGAGGCATGAGACTTGGGGTTGCGCACTGCACGCCTAACATGATCCAGATTTGTATATGCTGCTGTCCGAAGCCCCAGAACCCTCGAACCTTAAACCATCTTAAGCCCTAAATCTCTGATCTCTCTTCTCTCTTTGTGAATCGAGGCTTCAAGACACAGCCTGACTTGCCCGGGATGTTCCAATCAACCCGTTGAAACCGACAGCAAATCCCTTCTTCTTTCTGGGCTCAGGGTTTGAAGACTTGAACAGCCAGCTCCAAATGCAAAGCCCCACACAGCCGCATAGCCACATAGCCGCATAGCCCCATGGAGCCGCATGAAAACCCGCAGTCCAAGCCCTAGAAGAAAGCACAAGCCCTGACGGAACGAAGATCAGCGCCTGTATGCACTGCGCACCCCGGCACCCTGGCATGAAGGGGGCCTGGCGATTGGGGGTTTATAGGTTCAGAGAGACTGGGCCAGGGATGCTTCTTCAGCTTTCATGACATATGGCCCAACGGCTGCCATATCTTTGAGAAAAAGAACGGATGCTTCTTGGAAAAAATGCTGAATCTTGGGGAACTTGTAAGGGCCGGGGTTCAAGATTCGGTCGTAGAATTCCCAAGGCTTGTAGGCATGTATAGGTTCAAAGGCTTGAGATGCCGGGTCCACACGTCTTCAGGCTGGCTAGGAGGACTTGGCTTTTTGAATCCAAAGCGAGTCAGTCCCAAAGGTTTGCTTGCAACTTGCAACGTTTCCCCGCGGCGCTTCAGCACGACCCTGTCCAGCCATGGAACCCTGGAAGCCTAAACGAGTGTAAACCCCTAACAACTAAAAATGGAAGGTCATGGCCTGCTGCCTTGTGGCCTTGACACCAGCTGAACAAGAATTTGTTTAAAGCTCTATAGGATTGCGGTTTTACAGATTGGCTTCGAAGGTTTCAAGCTCGGACGGATGCGACCTGTGCCTCTTCGTCACGCTGCTGGACCGACATGGCGAAGCAACAGAGCTGTAAAAATTTGGTGTCTGCTGTTGGGGACTCGGTGGTGTTCTGCAATGTGTTTGAAGACGTCCAGCGGACTATTCAGGCTCATCGCAGGTTCTGACGTGCACACAGCTGCACGAAGCTGTACGTTCGAGCCTGGGGCGGTCGCCAACGTTTAGAGCACGAGGCTGCACTGTTCAAGCATGCATCTCCGTGCGCTGTCACTGCTGTCACTGGCGCTGCGGCGGGAAGAGTGCCAGCAGCTGCTTTTTTGGGAGTTTTTGATCGCAGGCCTGGCCTCCTTTGGAGGCATAACAGCCATCGTTGTGCAATCGAGTACTGTATAATACTGTGCCGGAGGCTATCACAAAAATGGAGCTCAGAGCTTGATTCATCCCAAAAGCGGGGCACCTGTCAAGATAAGAGAGGGACTGATAGTGTCAGTCGATCCCGTAGCCAAGCAAGTATGGGTTTTCTTAAGCAAGTTGTTCGTGCAGAGCTCAACTTGAACTGCTTAACCGCGTTCAATTATCGGGACCTTGCGGCGACTGATGGTTTGAGGAAGCAGGTCGCTTGCTCCTGGCCTATCCGGAACAGACAACATCTACTTGCTCCAGGTGCGAAGGGGCGCAAAGATTGCTACAACTCAGCTGTTTGAAGTGGCAACACAGAGAAATGGAACTCCGACACAGCCTCATGACCAATGATGTTTGCTTGCGAACCAACGAGAGTCCACGAATGTTCGCGAATGTGGGAGTGCCAAGAACAGCTTTGGGGCATGACCTGAGCAGCTGAAGCGCCAACCTGAAATGCCCTGAACACACGTTCAAGCCTTGACAAAACTCTGAACTCTCAACCACCCCCCCCCCCCCCACCCCCAAAACCCTGCTGCCGTGCGCCTGCTGCAATCACCCCCTCAACCCGAGATGCTTGGGGAGGATGTCTTGAGCACCTGCATGCCAGTTCCTCAAGAGATCCTCCCCAAGCATCTCGGGTTGAGGGGGTGCTGTCGCGTTGGCTGTTGCAAGCTGCGTCCCTGCCATACATGAGGGCTTAGGCGCATAAGGGTGAGAATTTGAAGGGCCGTTTTCCGCGACATGTCAGGACCCTCTCTCGGATTATATATATATATATATGTGTCTAAAACCCTTTGAGTCCAGACACCGTCCAGTACCCCAAACCCTCCCTACCTCCAAGCGCGAATCCCGAAACGGTTCAAGGAAGGGAGGGAGGGAGGTGGGGGGCGCACAGGCCTCGTCGAAGTCGGTTGGGTCGAAAAGGCCTTGGTCTCGGGTCACCGTGCATACCCCCCCTACCCCTGCCACAAGGAATGAAGCCCTTGCGCTGAGCTTCAGGAGATCTGGCAGAAGACCGGGACACTGAGGCGCAGAGCCACAGCAAGCAAGAAGAAACCCTTGGAGAGGCTCAGAGGCCCGGTCCGCCACGCGCCGATCCCGCCAAGCCGACTGGCCTCGATGTGGGGATGTGGGGGCGGGGTCTCGAGGAGTTCCCAGCAAGGAAGCCAAGAGCTCTGAACCCCGACAGCCAAGGCCGGCGCTCCTGCCAAGCCTCGCCCTGGCCGCATTCGAGACGTGTGATGGGTTGGGGGGGGCATGCTCTGAAACCTTGGTCCGGCTCGGGCTCGGGGTATGGGGCTTGGAAGGTCCGACACGTGCTTTCGTGCTGTGGGCTGGAAGTCCGGGGAGAGGAGTACGCGGTTCAAAAGTGAAGCTCCGCCGAAGATAAAAGCCTGACTGGTGCGTAGAGTCCCTAATCGCCGAAAAGGCCCTCTTCCTCAACCTTGAATCCTGACCGTTCACCCCCTCTAAGCCACTATCCGCCCCCAGCAAGAAGGCAAAGAAAACAGCGAGCTGTTGCTCTTTTCCCGGCTTGCCCGCGAAACTACCTTTCCAAGCACCCCAAAAGCCAAGCCGTAAACCACGAAGCACGAACACCGCAGATCCAACGGACCAGGACTTGCGGGGTGTTCGGGTGTAGCAATAGGGCTGCTTGGGACTTCGGGATGCTTATCAGGTTTAGGGTTTAGGGCTAGGGTCCAGCGTGGCAGCCAGCCACTTCGCTGCCTGGTCCACGAGGTTGCAGACTGCCCAGTCAGCCTTGCGTTGCAGCAGGAGCGGTCGAGAACATTTGCATGGCAGATGTTCTCGACCGCTCCTGCTGCAACGCAAGGGTGACTGGGCAGTGGGAAGCAGTCAGGCCTTTGACCTTAGGTCATGGGAGCAGTGTCGTCGGGAGCCCACAGGGAGGCGGTTTGCTCGTTCGACCACCCCCTTCCAACAAACAATTTCGCTGTGAACGCCTAACTTTTAACTTCAGCTCAGGCTCTCTCTTGAGAGGCAAATCCGACCCCTAACCCGAGCGCAGGAAGCCTGCAAAGCAAAACTCCCAAGCCGCCAAAGCTGGAATAACCCGGCCTCGGTGAAGTTGCCACATGCATTTGCCCACCGCAGTACAACTACTCAAGATTCCCAAACCCAGCCGTGAACGATCGGGCATGTCCTATTCATCCCCGGAATCCGCGTGACTTCGGCTTCGGGGAAATTCGGGGGCGCTGCTGCTGCGGCCTGCGCGAAGCGCATCCAGCCCCTGAGACCCGCGGAACATAGACGGATGTCGCTAATCGCACCAAAACCCGATTGTGGGGCTCTCGCTGCACAAGGATCGGCACGTCGGCGGCGAATTCATTGGACAAGGCTTAAGCGTAGGGCAGCTCAGAGTTGGCCGGGGGGGGGGCGGGATGGAGTCAAGGCATGAGAGCACACTGCGCACCGAACACCCCTAAATCTCTGATCTCTGTTCTCTCTTTATGCATCGAGGCTTCAAGACGAAGCCTGACTTGCCCGAGATGTTCCATCCAACCAGGTGAAACCGACAGCAGACCCCTTCTTCTCTCTGGGCTCACGGATTGAATAGTTGAACGACCAGCTCCACATGCAAAGCCACATAGCCACACAGCCGCATAGTCCCATGGAGCCGCATGACAACCCTCAGTCCAAGCCCCAGAAAGCCCAAGCCCTGACGGAACTAAGATCGGCGCCTGTATGCACTGCGCACCCCGGCACCCCGGCATGAAGGGGGCCTGGCGACTTGGGGTTTATAGGCTATAGGGCCATAGGGTGTTCAGAGAGACTGAGCCAGGGATGCTTCTTCAGCTTTCATGACATATGGCCCAACGGCTGCCATATCTTTGAGGATGAGCGAAAGAACGGATGCTTCTAGGAAAAAATGCTGAATCTTGGGGAATTTGTAAGGGCCGGGGTTCAATGAATCAGCTGAAAGTATCCGTGTCTTTCTTATTTTGACAGGTGACCTGTCAAAATGAGAAAGACATGGATACTTTCAGCTGATTCACTCACGCTTCTTTCTTAAGCGGTCGTTCGTCCACATCCTCAACTTGAACTGCTTAACCGCGTGAAGGACAGGAATTGGGCGGCAATTTCCTAGATTCGAAAACAACGAAGGCTACACAGAGCAATCGCACTGCCGCACGGCTTCATGGCCAACGACATCTTTGCTATCGAGAGTTGAACTGAATGTTCGCGCGAAAGTGGGAGCCTAGACCGCCTGCTCACTCGGCTCAACTGAACCTTAAGACAGGTGACACTGCCCAAGCAGTCGCTAGCACTACGGCTACGACGACGAGGACGGGTACACTGCTGCGTCGACCCACGCAAAGAAAGTGAGAACCGGCAAAAAAACCAAACGGGAACCCGTATCAATTCTCGCTGAGCGGCAACTCCCGGCCGCGCACCGGGCATTCCTGAGAGAACGGGCGCACGGACCCGACGGCTTGCCTGGTCTCTGCTGAGGCACGGCTGGAATTTGGCGCGCCTCATGAGGCTGCTGCACCCGCCGTGCCCTGTCTTCGCCTGCATTGCATTGCAAAAACAGTCTTCCTGAGTCCGGCTACAACAGAACTCTCATGCCAAGCTCCAATCAGCCAGTAAACATCCAATTCAATAGTAAACATCCAACCATCACGTGCATGAAAAGCCCCGAAATGGATTCCCACCTGCAAGGTCTCAGTAGCTCCCTTCGGCAAGGCCTCCTCGGTTCGGCGGTACCACAGCAGATGCAGAAGAAAAATCTGCTAAAAAGGAAGTAAATACAATCATATGCAGCGGTTCCGGGACTGGGGTTTGCGGGGGGCCCTCCCCGACCCTTCGCGACATCCGCATGGGCCCCCGGGCCAGGCATGGGCCCAAACCAGCGCGATGGAGAAGCGGGACCTGGGAGGGCACCGGTGTCTGAGAGGAAAAGGCCGCCTGCAATGCTGGCCTGCGTCGCCCTGCGCACCGCCGGAGCACCAAGCGCAGCCCAGGAGCCAAGGCTTTGCTCTGAGGAGGCAGGCGATCAGGCCGACTCCTTCCTGACAGAGCCAAGGAACCCACCCCCCCCCCCCCGCCACTTGGGAAATTTTCACCAGGCGGAAAGCTCGGCATTTTGACAGAAGCTGCAATCCGGTGCCATCTTGGGGCGCTGCGCGCTGCCTCGGAAACACCAGACAGCAGACAACACCACTCAACCCAGAACGGTTGCTTCTCAGACAATCAACAACCAGTCGCTCCACAACGAACCCACCATCGAGGCTGGATCCCCGCCGCACCTTGTAGAACTTCTGGGGCCGCGCAGTCCCTGGACTTGCGATCCGCTCGTCCCTGCACTCCCCGGGAAGGAATGTGGAAGACACTGTGATAGACATCGCGCAGTGCCACAATACCCGCTGGGTACCCCGGCCAAGACTTGAGTGCTGCGCTCATGCCGAATTCCCTACGATCCTTGACGTTCCTCTCCTGTGCAGTGTTCCAAGTGCTTTCCGAGTTGAGGACTCAATGGTGTTCTGTTGCATATTTAGCTTTGAGACGTCAGGCGGATTCATATTCGGGCTTGTCGCATGTTGTGAATTGCACACACCTGCACGAAGAAGCACGTTCGAGCCAGAAGCGGTCACCAGCATTCTGCACCCAGGCTGAACCGTTCACGCATGC